ATGGTGAAGACTAAATTTACGTAAGGGAATAAGAAGTGATTATTAAAAATTCGTTTACACAGCGGGAAAGGAAATTGGCTTTCAAATACTTCAATATACTGATTGATGTTTATACACTTTATAAGTTTGATATTTTATCTAGTCTAACTTTGTCTTTTGATTTTATCCAATATTTTAGTAATTGGATTCTCATCATATTTCTAAATAACTTTTTTTGATTATTTTTTTTCCATTGAAGCAAAAGGAATGACTTTTTTATAATATGAGTTTTTAAAGTATACTTTTAGGTAGTTACTGATTTTTACATACATACATTTACTGAAAGGCTTTTCAAAAACATAGTTTGCATTTTATTGTTGCGGATAAAGCGTGCGGAAACATAAAACATATATAAAAGAAATTTTTGTTGAAATAATAGTTGTATCTGGATTATCATATCAATTTTAAAATGGGCTGGGTTTATAAAAGTGAATTAATAAAAATAATAATATTTGTTTTAAATAAAGACTTTAAACTCTAACTTGATGATTGACTTTGTTATATATATTTCAAGTTCAACCGCACTAATAGCTTTTTCCTTTTGCAGTAAAAGCTTCCTCAAAACTTTAACTGAATGTCCAATAAATAAAAAGTAAATTTTGTTAATATATCTTAATATGTCTGCCTAACACAGGCTGAGATATTGAAAATACAATATAATTCAGGTCTCAAAATATAAATAACACGGAAACAAAACATCTTTTACCTTATCTTATCGAGATGTTTTTTATAGCTCAACAATAATTAAAATATAATTTTGTTTACTTTTCGTAGAATTTATATTATAAAATCAATTTATTTTATGTAGCAAAGACAGGCAACAAATTCATACAATATGGTGTGTAAAACAAAAATCTGATGGAAACCACCTTCAGTATTTACTGTACTCGTAAGTTAGCATTTGCTATAAGTAAATTTGTACTTCAAGATGTTGATATAAATGTAAGTGACGTTTGTGATGATTTAATTAATGAAAAGATTTCGAATTATTAGTTTTAATGCAATCACATTCAATAAATGCAAATTAATTTAATTTATTTTAAAATAAATTTTTCATTTAATTTAATGTTTATAAAAATATTACTATTGGATGTTATTAATAAACCAACTATGTCTTTTTTTAAATTAAAACTTCATGCAGTGTCAAATGCCGTGTCATATGATTTGATAAAATAAATACAGGGTGGGCCAAGAATTCGTTAACATTTGAATCTAATACCCTACGCAAATAAATGCCGCGCGGGGCGCGGGGAGGGGTCTTGTCACTAGCTCGTTTCTCGGAAATTTTGTAGCAATGGATCGCTTCACGGGGCCGCAGCGCGCTTACTGTGTGAAACAATTTTATTTAAACAACAATTCGCTTATTACTGTGAGACGCTTATTTCGTGGTGAATATGATTTACACGACTTAAGTCAGTGTCCGAGTGGTCCTTTAATAAAGAAATGGGTGAAGAAGTTCGAAGAGACGGGATCTACACTAAATGTAGAGCAAACCGGCGGCCTACGGACTTCTCGGAGCGAAGAGAACGTACAGCAAGTTTCGAAGAGAACGTACAGTCTGTTCGACGTGATCCAGGTTTATCGACGCGCAAAACTTTCGGCTGAATTAGGATTATCCCGCACATCGTAACGCCGTATTTTGAAGTTAGATTTGAAATTGCATCCGTATAAGATCCAATTGGTGCAGGAACTAAAACCTAATGATTTAAATTTACGCAAGTCCTATGCTGAAACTGCTAGATCGATTCAGTAATTTTGAGAACCTCTTATTTTCTGACGAAGCCCATTTTCATCTTAACGGACATGTAAACAAACAGAATTGCACATATTGGAGCAGTGACAATCCTAAAGCTAAACACGAAAGGCCACTTCATTCTCCAAAGATGCTGCAATTTCAGCAAAAGGAATAATTGAACCTACTTTTTTGAAGATTCTCACGGCCGTTCAGTTACTGTTACTTCTACTCGGTATGTGAAAATGTTACGGGAGTTTTTGGCACCGATGCTACTGGAATTTTCTGACTACAATCGTAACACATGGTTTCAACAAGATGGAGCCACTTGTCACACATCCAACGAATCCCTGCCGGTGGTTAAAGAAATGTTTCCGAAGAGGCTGATTTCCAGACGAGGTGACATTCCATGGCCACCCAGAAGTCCAGATCTATCCCCACCTGACTTCTTTTTATGGGGTTATTTAAAAAGTCGTGTCTACATCGATAAACCAAATACACTACGCCAACTAAAAGAAAAAATCAGCGAAAAGATATCGACGATCTCACGGTCTCTGTGCGGACGAGTATTCGAAAATTTCGTTACTCGCTTAGAAGAGTGTAAAAATCGAAATGGTGGTCATTTAGATGATATGATTTTTTAAAAATAATTTCCAACTAATTAGCTTTCTTTTAATAAAACAATTTTTAAAATATGTCAAATAGTTTTTTTTAAATGATTATTTCAAATGTTAACTAATTCATGGCCCACCCTGTAGTTTGGAAAATAGCCCCGAGCGAGTGCTTGAAATTGTGTGTACTTTGTGAGGACTCTTTTCTTTGACAAATATTAGGTTAGTCTTTTTGAAAGACATATGACTGATAATAAACCTTATGTAAATGAAATCACCATGAAATTTTGAATCAGAAATGAAACTATGTGTAGTTTCATTTCTGATATATAATTTCAGTTTTTTATTTTACCCACAAAGAAGAAGTATTAGTCTTTTCTTCCATCTGCATTTTTGTAGTCTATATTAATGAGATTTACGACTCACAGACAATTTAACCTCGTCTGACCGTGATCACGGTTGGTGTAAAGTAACCGAAACATCGGTTGTAGCAGAGTAGTTCATAGTGATACAAAACGCGTAATAAATCAGAAAATATTAGAGTTACATTTATATTAATACAATGGAAGTAGCTCTTCCTGTCACTTTGCACGGTCAAAATACATACTTGAAAGAAATTCGATTTATGTCTTTAATAATATATTTGAAGCTTACTATTGACTCTTATTTTAAAGTAATTTTTATGACAAAATTGCTCTATGACTATATGTATGTTCCGTGAAATTCACTAACATGCTTTGAAACCGAATCGTTTACAGTAAATAGATTTAATGGCCACTTATCTAAATGGCTATTGATGTCCTCAATGATTGAAGACAATTTGAGTGGTTGTGATATTATACATATAACGTTTTGAATAAATTAAATAACTAAGTAAATCTAGAGACAAACGTTCATCTCATAAACATTTTGTAATAACGTTATAATCAAGACTTTGAACCTAAATATTTTATTTATTTTAATAATACTTTATTGCAGAATAACAGTTTTTTACCTCTTAATTTATTTTTTATTTTTTAGATAGGCCACGTTTTTTTTAAGATTAGTCTTAAAAAACTAAATATAAAATATTATTAAACTAGTCCGTTAACTTGAATATACCACCATGGCAGATTAATAATGAAATTTTTAAATTAACTATATATTGTCATCCGTATGTGACTCGTATACTAAATTACATACCAATTGATCAAAGATTTCGACTTGAAAATTGAGTTGGAAGTTAAATAAAAGATTGTAAAATTTTCAAACTACTATCACAATGTACGAACACAATAGAAAAAAAAAAAAAAATTGCAATTCCATTCATTCCATTTGTTTTCTAAAAGTCTATTGTAATAGAAAGCTAGGATTTTATGTGAGTAAGATAATATGTACTCAACATCGTCAGATAGATCACAGGGTATGAAAGTAAGTAAGATCTACAAGTTAATTTTTTTAGCCTTTGTTATTATAAAAACAAGGAGGAAAATTAATGCAAACCTATTTAGGAACCAATTGTTTCAATAAAATGTGGTTTAATAATTATAGTTCGATACCTATTATTAGTTTTTAAATAAGAACTCTTCTTGAATTGAAACATTTTAATTCAAATTAAATATAACAATACAATGTTTTGTTAACGGAAAGTATGTATAATGTATATATGTAGAAAGACGGGAAAAATTCATTTGCACGTTCTGCACTCTGGTTAAAATGTAACTTATAATATTTATATTACCTTTTGTTATTATTATCACCGAACTATGCAATAACAATCATATTGTTCCGCTTATTGTAATGAGTTAAACGATATACGAAAATATTTTTGTAAACAAAGAATAGGTCTAAAACAAAGGATTTATTTTGTACAATCAAAAGAACTATAAATGCTGCTGAATATTTAGCATTATAGTCAAAAGCAGTCGAGTTTGGACAAACATTGCACTTTTTGAAGCTGAGATCAGAGTATTTGACTCTGTGAAAACATATTTAAAATTTCTAAGTGAAAAAATTTACGATATTTATAATGAGATCTAAGATTTTCGCGAGTACACATTTAAATGAAACTAATATTTTTCGGATTTTACTTCGCGTTTTATTTTTGATTAAAAAACTACATACTCCCGACGTTTCAGCTACTTTTCAGTAACCGTGATCACGGGCAGACGAGATGTGAGTGTCTGTCAGTTGGTCTGGTTATTTTATCTCCTACCGCCATCGATTTCTTAATTGTCTTGCGTACCGCTCTGGATGCCGGCAAAATGCGCCCACGGTGTCTCGAGGTCCTGCGGTGTGGTCACGGACATGGGATTTTATATTTTTAAGAAGAGGATCCCAGGTGTTTGATAGGTTCCAGCCATCTTCTCTATTGAAACTGGGGTGTTTTTTAATTTCAATAGCCTCGCGGATTAACCTTGGTATATGTATATCTGTCTTCACGAGCGAGGATATGTGGTTATAAATATATAAATAATAATAAATTAATGTAGATATTGCCGAGATGAAATTATTCAAACCTGATACTTCATTTATGTTAGGTAAATACTAAATAGCAGTTATATACATAAATATTTGTTGTGTATTGTAAGCAATATTTGTAATTATTTACATACATTACATACTTAACATCTGCTTTCTTGAACCATCTTAGTTCTATCAATAATAAGATCCAGTTTACTATAGAATTAGAGGCAAATAATTCTTTAGCTTTCCTTGATATACTTGTCATCAGGAATCCTGACAATACTTTGGGACATACTGTTTATAGGAAACCCACACATACGGATAGGCATCTCAATGGTAACTCACACCACCACCCTGTACAGTTAGCTACCGTTGGTAAATCTTTGTTACAGAGAGCACAACACCTTTGTGATGCTGACCACCTAGAGGCCGAGCTGCAGCATGTAAGACATGCTCTGACCATCAACAGCCTGCCCGTGCCTCGCCAGCATCGCAAGAACCCGATGAAGCCACCTACAGTTGAGCGACAACCTGCAATTCTACCATATGTAAAGGGAGTTACTGACAGAATAGGCAACATCTTGAAGAAGGTTTCAATCAAGACTATTTATAAACCACATAAGAAAGTGAGCCAATTCTTGAGACCAATCAAGAGTAACATTCTTTTACAACAAGCGGGTGTATACAAACTTGATTGTGACTGTGGCTTGTCATACATCGGACAGACAAAGAGAAGCATCGGTACAAGGGTTAAGGAGCACATTTCAGACGTCAGGAATAGGCGCGCGTCGAAGTCAGCAGTCTGTGAACATGCATTGGACAAACCAGGCCATTACATTAGATTTGATAAACCACATATCCTCGCTCGTGAAGACAGATATATACCAAGGTTAATCCGCGAGGCTATTGAAATTAAAAAAACACCCCAATTTCAATAGAGAAGATGGCTGGACCCTATCAAACACCTGGGATCCTCTTCTTAAAAATATAAAATCCCATGTCCGTGACCACACCGCAGGACCTCGAGACACCGTGAGCGCATTTTGCCGGCATCCAGAGCGGTACTCAAGACAATTAAGAAATCGATGGCGGTAGGAGATAAAATAACCAGACCAACTGACAGACACTCACATCTCGTCTGCCCGTGATCACGGTTACTGAAAAGTAGCCGAAACGTCGGGAGTATGTAGTTTTTTAATCAAAAATAAAACGCGGAGTAAAATCCGAAAAAAATATTAGTTTCATTTACGATATTTATATTAAAACAAAAATGTGATTTTTGGATATTCTGCCCTATTTATTGTATTACTAGCTTTTGTCGCGACTCCGTCCGCGTGGGGTAGTGACTTCCGGCAGATTTTTGGTTCTTCCCACATAGTTCCCGTTCTTGCGAGGTTTTCGAAATGGTCGAGTTCCCGTAGAGTTTTCAGGATAAAACCTATATTTTTTTTTAATTCACAATCAACCAACAACATATTTATTTGTTTATTTGAATAAAGATTTTATAAAATTATTTCGACCAAATTAGGTACCATAAAAACGGTTTTTGTGAGTTAATCTTAAAAGATAGACATATACCGCCGCGGACTGTTTTTTAGATCATTAAAAGAGCTATTATTCTTTAATACATATTTTTTGTGTATCTTGAACCGTTTTCACGGCGTACGCAACGGAAGGCTTCAAAGATGAAATAATTTCTCCCGTTTTTTACACATTTACCACTATATCTTTGCTCCTATTGGTCATAGCGTGATGTTATAGCGTGACGCCCACAGCCTTCCTCGATAACTGGACTATCCAACACAAAAAGAATTATTCAATTCGAACCAGCAGTTCCGGAGATTAGCGCTTTCAAACAAACAAACAAACAAACAAACAAACAAACAAACTCTTCAGCTTTATAATATTAGTATAGATTCGGTTACTTAACAGTAAACTTGTTCAGGGGCTAACAAGAGGAAAGTGTTTGTAAGTTAATCTTGATACATTAGATATGTAATGATAATTTTATATAGAAAACGTTTAAATTAAATATATCCATATCTCTATATATCATGTGGTTTCTAGGAAATTAGGGTAGTTTTATTAATATAAAGGGTGTATGAAAAACTGTGTCAACCCTCTTAACTACGTTATCAGTATCGATAATGTAACACAATAAAACAACTTACATTTACAAACTCTTCAATAAAAATAATAAAATTAAATATTAAATGATTATTATATGTAGGTAACAAAATGTTTGTAAACCCTGGTATAACACGATGACACGCAATGACGTCATCACACCTGCTGCGCTACTAGTGACGAACTCGAAGTTACTTTCACATTATTGAAAATATCGATATTTAAAAAATCATAACAATAAATAAATATTTAATATTCATATTGTTTCGATACTTATTTTGATATATCACACATTAGTATTATTTTTGATTGTAAAACACCATTTCTAACAGAAATAGATTAACGATTTATCCTAATAATACAACATAGTTAATTTACCTGAAGAAGTTCCAAATTATAATATTGATTAATAATATTTATTATTTATAAAAGTTACTTTAAATGAAAGAAAAGCATAACTACTTATAGCAATATTGAAAATGTCGATAGAATATTTATCGATATACTTACCTAATAAACACTAACAAAAGACGAGTGTGCCACGCCGGCGGCCGGCGCCTGCGATCAAAGGCCGCGCATGCGTCTTCGCGACGCTACGGGGCCTTGACCTTGTATTGCGTCAGATGTTTGAAACATTTTTTCAAATAATGTCGATTTTAAACTTATTTAGCCTATGCACTGTAACTGACCTCTGCTTGATTTTTTTTAAGTTATACTATTTTTTATAATAAGCTTATACTTATATGTATACATGCCTTCAAGGGTTGACACAGTTTTTCATACACCCTGTATATTCAATCTAAGATATTTAGATTGTGGTTTTGCTATGGACTGGCTGTAACTTCGGCGATATCATCGGCCACTCATATCCGTTAGGTATTTCTTAGTTTCGCACATAATAATCATTTCTTTATTTTACGTCAAATAACTGCATTTCAAAAAAGTAGTCTTATTGGAAATTTTCCCTAAAAAGTAAGCTAAAAATAAATTGAAATTAAAGCCCACACCATAACAACTCCTTCTCCTTTTCTTTAAATAGTTATTTATGTTGATGGCTATTTATGTCTACTTCAAAACAATTTATATACCTAATTAACCTCCGAAGAAAAGGTATTTTATTAATAGTTATATATTTGCTTTGCCAGTAATAGTAACAAAATAACCTTCGGAAACTACTGAGGAAATCGGTTAGTATTCATACTACTACTAAATATTTAAATTTTTTCTAAATTAAACTATATGGTCTAAGATCCCGATATAAGGCGACCTTCACCGAGATGTTTATTTGATGAAACATATTGAAGGTCGCCTTATATCGGGATCCTCTACTAATAGGAAAATGCTTTGTTAACTTAAAAAGAATAATAATTTATAATCAATATTTATAAAACACTTTAAAAAGGTCATTAAGAATTATCGAGTTTAAAAATGATTTTTATGTATATTATTAATCATGCATTTATTTTTAAATCTTTTAAGCCTTAAAAACAGCCAATTTAACAATTAACAACACCAACAAAAAAGATCATCAATGTAAAAAAATATTTCTGTAGAGTAAATTCATTTTATATTATTAAGAAGACAGTAATCAAGTATATTACCAGTTTTAAAGTTACAATTCCTAAAATTAGATTTTTATTTCCTTCCTAGTCATTGTTTGTAGTTTGTATTTATAAAACTTTGCCTAAATTAAAAGTTGGTCTTAATTAAAATTGTTGTCCGTTCATCAAATGACTGATTTGACAATTTAAGTTACATTTCATTTCAAATATCTGACATTAAAAAGCTTAACAATTGAATTTTACTTTTCTTTTAAAATTTTAATATTAATTTTAACACGATATTAGGTAGTAGATAAGATAAAATATTAAATATATCATTCGTTTAAGGGGGAATGATATGTTATTATTTATCATTTAATTAAAAACATTTTTATATTGCAGTAAGTAATTGATTTATGACTAAATATTTGAAACACGTTTTTTAACATTTTCGATCTGTGTCAATATGCATTGTAAAGCCTAAGTGTTAATTTATAAGTTAGTTTTGCTCCATAGAACTGTAATCCAAAAACTTGATAGTTACTTATACAGCTTAGAGAACAAATAGTAAATAAAACTTCCCAATTCAGAAATATTGATAAAGGCCTGTATGAACCAGTGTTGTACAGCATTGTATATATTTATTAATAAAAATATAATGTTGTCAGTAGCATATGTTTATTATCATCTAACGCTTATAAAAACTTATTAAAAATTTATACAAAACTTGCCAACACACAATTAAATTATATGAACAGCTAAAGTCATTTTTCGAAACCAGTCTAAGAGAATTATGAACTTTTGACAGTTATCATAGACTTAGCCTTGGTAGTTCCGAATATATTTTTCTTGTTAAGTAGTTAGGAAATATTTAATAGTCGATACGAATATATATACTTACTTAATAAGTTTTTTCTCGGTTAAATTTAAGTGTAATATAACTTTAAACATTAGTTTGTAATGTTGAAGATGAGTATATTTGAAAAACCATGACAAACCACAATAAATTTCGGAATTGAAAATGTTTGATTGTTCATACTTAATTAAACTTTAAAAGAATCTTGAAGTTACTAAAATCATATATACACTTAAAAAGAAAACTCACTGTTGCATGACTGATTAACATATATGTATATCGGCGCTACCAGCTTTAATAACGGATGCGACTTGAAAATAATTAGAGGCTGTCATCAATTCTTATTAAACCTCATTAGTATTTATGATTATTGTTAAAAATAAAACGAAATCAAAGGAGAATAGAACTATGTTTGAATCTTGTTATAAATATGACGTCTGGATGCACGACTCCAGAATGGGGACTTCAGAATTGATAATTACAGAGTTCAGTGAGTGTGAATCATTGAAGTATGTTATTACGAAGAATCTTTGAGAATTACAGGAGCATTGAGAACAATTAAAGTTTCATTTTAAAATATCATGGACCATACTAGAAGAAGTGACATTTGTAACGTCAGTGAGGCTGGCGTCTCTCTCTCTTTTAAAAACAACGAATCTGTAATAAATCCGATATCAGAAGTGGGAACGCTCTCGTGATCAAATACTGCCGGTCTTATAAATCCTGATCCAGCTGAAGAAAATAACCATGTGGAGAACTTGCGTACTGAAGAACGCTAAAAGAAAATTTTTTTTTCATTCCATTCATTGATGTCAATAATGCAGAGCGTGTGCAAACGTTTACTACAAACAAATCAAGGGATAAGATTAAAATTACTACTAAGATCATTTTAATTTTTATCATCGTTTGACCCCGGTGGTAGTGTGTGTGTTCGGGAATGGTGTCGACACATCTTTACGGTTGAAAATACGTACTAAATCAGGAACCATGATTCTCAAATGAAAATCAAATCTTTAAAAGGAGCGAGCTCGAATGTGTGCAGACAATTGGTTACAACATCTACATAAGAAGCACTAACATAACACACATACACACTTAACATTTGTTATTACCCTTGACCTAATCTCGTGTCCATGGTGTTTTCTCAAGAGAACCATGAGATTCTGTAGGGAAGCCTTGTGGAGCCGTGAGGAGACAAGTATTACACCATAGATCTGGAGAGCGTGGCCTCTGAGCTAATCACGAGTTACCCTTGAGCTAACCACGGGTCCTTGATGTATCCGAAAGAGAACCATGTGATTACGTAGGGATGCCTTGTGGAACCGTGATAAGACAAGTAAACGTCACAGATGTGGAGAGCGTACCTCTGAGCTAATCACGTGTTACCCTTGAGCTGACCACAGGTCCTTGCTGT